GTCCTTAATAGAACAGGACTCCTTTTTTAACTAAGCAGTCTTTAGTTAAGTACTTTAGGCTTAGGCTTACTAAGAACTGCTGTTCTTAATCCTCTATTATCTGCTTTGCTTCTTAGTAGACTTAATCTTTCGCTACTGTCTCTTGCTAAAGCTTTTTAAGCTTGTTCTACTCCTCTCTTAATTCTTTAGTATAAGGCTGCTCTAAACTTTCTTCCTCTTGTTAGTGTTGCGACTTAAGCTTATCTAACTAGTCTTCTAATAAGCTAGCTGCTTCTATTTCTCTCTAGCTTTGTAGCTGCATTGCTATTACTAGAGTCTTGCTATCTAAATCTTCTTTAATTAACTTTTTGTAGTAGAAGTTTGTTAGCTTAAGTATTTGTACAAACTGCTTCTGTAAGCGTTTGTCTTCTGCTCTTTTAGGCAGGTCTTGTTCTCTTCTTAAGAGCGTGTTAGCTCTTACGTTTTCTTTGCTAAGCTAATACAACAGCTCTAGGTTGTACCTGCCTAGAAGAAGCGACTATCTTATCTAACGCTTGTTTAGCATTCTAGGTTTTATAAAGTATTTTAAGTTTTTATAATCTATAATTACCTTAAACTTCTTTACTAAACGCAGTTTAAAATTCTATTCCTTAAGACATTGTACTACTGCAAGTAGCTTCTTATTATAGATCTCGTAGTTATATTCGTGTACGTTATTCTTCTGTAAGAAGTACGCGCAGAGCTGCAAGACTCCTTTATTATTGTATTGCGATAGCACTCTACTTACTGCGTAGCCGCTTAAGTCGCATTTAAGCACTATTTTACAGTCTAGGTTAAACGCTACTAAAGAGGGCTCTGTAACAAAGATCTCTTTTAGCTTCTTAAAAGCTAATTGTTCTTTAGGGCCTTACTAGAAGAGGACATCGCCTATTAGCTTTGTTAATAGCGCTAATAGCTGCGAGAAGTTCTTAATAAACTTTTAGTAGAAGTTTGCAAAACTAAAGAATAATCTTACTCCTTAAACTGTCTTTAGCGCCTCCTATTCGCGGATTACAGCTACTTTTGCTAGATCTATACTTATCTCCTTGCTAGCTTCTATTACAAACTTAAAGTACTTTGTTAACTTAACTTCAAACTCGCACTTTTTAATATCTACCTGCAGGCTTACAGCTTGCAGCTTGCTAAGCACCTTTTAGACGTGTTCCTAGTGTTAGTTTAAGTCTCTATTAGAATAGATTAGAATGTTGTCTAAGTACGCTAAACAGAAGTTGTTAAGGTGTTCTTTTAGAGTCTAGTTAATATACTGTTAAAACGTACTTAGAGAGTTCGCTATACTAAAAAGAGTAACTAGCTACTTAAATAGTCTAAACCTTGTTTAGAAAGCTGTCTTTTATTTATTGCCTTATGCGACGCGGATCTTGTAGAACGCTGCAATAACGTCTAGCTTCGTAAACTACTTAGCCTTGCTAATACTGTTAAGCGTCTCTTAGATAAGCGGAAGAGGGTATTAATTTTTTCTTGTAATTGCGTTTAAGGCTTAATAGTTAATACATAATTAGAGTCCTCCTCTAGGCTTTTTTGCAAACAGCACTAAGGCAGCAGCTAGTAAGCTGCTTACACAGATAAACTCCTTCTTAAGCAGCAATGTAAGTTCCTTCTATAGAACTAATAACTTACCTCTTAATATACTATAGAGAGGTCTCTATAGTAGCTAGGCGTCCTTTAGTTCTAACTTAATCTTGTAGTCTACTCTTAGACCTTAGTAAAGTAGGAGCTTCTTAGCTTCTTTTAGGTTAAAGAGCTTGTAAAACTCCTAATACTACTTTAGTAGCAGCGCACGCACGTCTGCTAGCTTCTTTTTCTGTAAGGCCTTATTAATATCTACTATTAACGCGGCGAAGATCTAAACGCTGTTTAGAGCGTTCCTATGTCTGCAGAGTAATGCTGCAAATATAGCAGCACTTACTTGTTAGACCTCTCTCTATAAGGTCTCTTCTGTAGATCGCACTTAGATGCCTTTTAAGTAGATAAAGATGCTCTTTTTCGCGGAGGCTATTAACACGTTACAGTAGTCTATCTACCTCTTTCTTAGATACACGTCTTTATCTAAGGACAAGTTTATTACGTATGCGTAGGCAGTCTCTTTGTACCTGTGCAGTTTAAACAAGAATTAGGCGACTTTATTAATCTCTAAAAGCTTACTATTTACTCCCTTAATTATTTAGGCGGGGATCTAATAGCGCTCTAGACAGTAGTAGTAAGTGAACTTCTTATTAACTAGCGCATAGCAAAGGCACCTACAATTAATTAGTGCTGTAGTGTTTACTACGTTATTTACAATTAGATCTATTGTAATTAGTAGGGGGCGCATATGCTTCTGCTAAAATTAACTCTATTTGCTGCTTATCTGCTAATCTATCTTTAGAGGCTCTAAGCTAAGACTCTAGCTTAGAGCTCCTCTTTTTCTAAGTTGCTATCTATTAGTTCTTTAGCCTCTTTCTAGAGTTTCTGTCTTTCGCCTGTAGAGATACCTTTTGCTCTCTTAACCTAAGTAGTGTTTAGACAGCTCTTAGCAATATAACTTAGCTCTCCGCAGCTATAGCAGTTAAGCAGTAGCTGTCTTAGCCTGCTTCTTATCTCCTGCGCTTAATTAATCTTTAATAGTTCTTAGTCTATCGCTTCTAGGCTAGCTTCTTGCTAAGCAGCTCTTAGGTAGTTCTAAGCGTTGCTGTAAGCTGCGTTCTTTTAGTTCCGCCTATGTAGCTAGATCTAGTACAAGTTGTTAGATAGCTTAATTGCCTTGTCTATGTACTTCTTTAGGCTTCTGTTTTTAAAAGTGTAGAGTATTAGCTTCTAGAGCTCTTCTCTAAGGCCCTTACTAAACATCTCCTAAGCTACTGCTAGGCTAAACTGTTAACAAGATTCTACACAAAGCTAGTTAAACTCTAAGACGTAGTCGCGTATTAGTCTCTGTCCTTGCTTTAGGTGCTAAAGCTTATTTAGCGCGCGCTGCTGCTAGTGTACGTCTTAGAAGTAGGTATCTATATGCTCCTATAGGCTAATAACTATTTATTCTTTATTCTTAAGTACTTAAGGGAGAAAGACCTAGTTTGCCTTGTCTTTTGTTTAGCTAAGCACGTATTAGACCTTTGCGTCCTCTGTTAAGAACATAGCACTATCGTACTCTAGCTTCCCTTTACACTCAAATTTCTAGCCTAAGTAGTTACCTTGTGTCCTGTTAAAGCGTTCTAGGTTAGGAAACTTGTTCTTGCAGACAGCTAGCTCGACGACTAGTGTCAATAGTAGCGGAGGGGTGTTAGCTTCTAGGGACAGCTCTAAGCTTCTTTTAGCTTAACTCTGTTTAAGCGCTTCTAGACGACTAGCTATTAGGCTAAGCAATTGCATTATCTGCTGCATTATCTAGGCTATAGCGTCCTAATTGCCCTTCAACAACTCTCCTCGTCTTAGCGAGCTTTTCCCTCCTACAACTAATAATCGCTTAATAACTGCTTTAATTGTTAGCCCGATTGCTGCCTCCTTCTATCCGTCCTCTCTTAGCATCTGTATAATTTCGCGCAGGATCTCTTCGTCTAAGACTCCTGCCTAGCTCTTAGCGGTAGCGTACGCTGCTAGCTCCTCTACGTTTAAGTTCAGAACGTTAATCTCTATTGCCGCTGTTTAGTCTACTCGCGTAGCCCTAGACTGCGGCCTACTCCTCGTTAATAAGGGCTACTTCTTCAGCTGTACTTCTCTTCTGTCCCGTTCTAAACAGCGTTTAGCTGTTATCGTGTCGCGTCCCTAGGAAGACTCGCGTCTTGCTGTCTCGCTTGTAGAATCTCGTCTCTAATTAAGAGTAATCACACGGCCTGCACCTCGTACAATAGAGAATTAATAGGACTTTAGACAGATTCTAAGCGACTAATTCGCCTACTGTCTCTCGCGGCTAAGCTTCCTGCGAAGCTCCGCTCTAAGTATGCTGTCTTGCGACAGTCTACCTACTTGCTGCGCTAGAGGCCTTTTGTACCTATTGCAGCACTAACTCCGTGTTACTAGCTTATACTAACAACACGTTCTAAAACTTATTTAGAAGACAGTTCGCCTAAGGCTTATGTCTAATTAAGATCGAATACAAAATGTAAGGGGCTGCGCTCTGTGGAGCAATCGCGAGGTATACAAGAGGTTGTATTTAATAGGGAGCTAAGCTCCTAGCTACGTAGTTATCTATATACAAGCTAGTTGCCTGAGTAACAATCGGGCCGGTATGGTCTAGGTGCACGAGGCAGCTTCTGGGTCCTGCGGCCATCGTCTGAGCGACGTTCGGACGATGCGCAGAGAATCCGGGTGCTCGAGGTAGCACCCGGATTTTGCGAGTAGACCGAGATTCCATCGAGGAGCTGTCTAAAGGGCGTTCAGCCCGTTACATAAGTTAACTACAACAAGTGTAATAATAAAAACTATCTATCTTTTATACCTATTGCAATCTGTTCCTATCCTCTCTATCTTCTTTGCTTAACCTGCCTACAAAGGGAGGTTAGAGAGGACGTAGTCTCCCTCTTGCCTTTAGCTTCCCTTTCTTAGCGGGAGGCTAGTGCTTAGCAGGAGGCTACATTACGTGATTAGCGCCCCGCGTTAATTATTACCTTCTGACGTGGACGTCGGTTAGCGTTCTGCCCTGACTCCTTTATCAAGGGTGGAGTTCCTTTTGTTGCTTGTAACAATTAAATCTTGCTAGCAGATTTTGCTATTAGATATTAGAATTAGCTGTTAGAATTAGCTGTTAGATTTCTGACGCACGGGCTAATTTTTCGAGGATTTGACAGCAAGATCCTCGATCCTAATAGGTATAGGCAGTCCTACGTTGAGATAGCGGTGTTGAGTATCTCCTATCTGTCCGGCCTTTTTTGTATGATCCTTGTGGTATCCCCTTTCATGTGCCCCAACATAGAGTCAAACCAGACTATCATTCTTAGAGGATATCCGCCCCCTGAGCTGACCTCTACTTTGTCGTTGGACGGGTGAGTTCACTGAGAGGCAGACTGTTTCTTGACCTTAATCTCCACATTTTCCCAAATCCATGCACATTTCTCTCCATCACCCGCAGGGTCCTCCACAACGTTGACCGCGAATCCTTGCTGGCCGGATACTTCCCCCACTGAGCCTCCCGTAATCATGTCGAAGAAGAAACGTGCGCGCTGTTGATTCGATGGGTCTGTTACATCCATGCACCGCAGAAGAAGCTTGCGCAGGGGAAGTGCATAGGCGTGAACGGCTTGGATGAATTGCCGAACAGAGATCGGCTGTCCGTCTGCGTTCTCAATGAGCAATTGTGCTGGCCGTAGATGCTTTGTATCCGAATCGTGCCAGTGCCACCAGCTTTGCAGTGGTTCAATCGTGATTTCCAGGCGTGATTTTGGAGGATACATTGCCGTCTCGTCAAGCTGTGACTTGCTGGACTCCTCGGTAAGTGGGCGCCATTGCAAAACTCCTTCGTCGTCCGGTCCAAAGACCTGTACGTCCGATGGAGAATCTAGTACAGACCATTTTAGCCTATTGAAAATATCGTTTGGCTCTGGACCTGATGATGTTGGTGCTACTGGAGGTGGTCCGGATTGGAGCAGATGAGGTGGGATGTCGGCTGCATTCCATCGGGGAGGGTACCAGTCCATGTCCATCTGTGGTATCTCTGTAGGCATAATGCTATTCTTGGTTCGGTAGACTGATTTTAGGGTGGATAACAGCAAATATTGACACCTGTCAGATGTTCTCAAGTAGAGGGCGAGATTGTTGGCAGGTGGGCTTGGATATGTGTTTGGCTGAATCACGGCCCTGAAGCGAAATGAGTCCCGGTTATATACAACGAAATTCTGAGACCTAGGCCCTTTTCGGGATTCCCGATGCAGGGCGGCTCGCTTAGCATCGCCGCGCCACCAGACTGCAGTGGGGGCTACCTAATGATTGGCTGAGAGAGAAATCCATTGAAGGAGTCCCTTGGCTCGAGGCCCAAATAGAGGTCAACTCTCTGGGCACAGTATCCGAGCATTACGGTGAAAGGCCTCACGCGGGTGACATAATTTCCCGCACACCTATAACTCCGCTGGGTTGCGCGGTATACAATGCTACAACAACGCAACTAAAAGATAAACTAGATAGACAGAATTGTAGAGCAAGTAAGATAACATAGATCTTTTTATGTTCAAATACTTAAACTTCTATATTCTGAGACTGTAATACCGATGTAGAAGGTGGTGTTGTTGATGTTGCTGCTAGTCACCCGCGCGGGCCTTATGTCGCAAGTAACCTTTCAATTTAGGAATCGAGCCTCGGATAGAATCCTTCGAGCCTTAGATAGAATCATTAGGTTAGTGTAGCCCTAAGGAGATTGATATCTTCGACCCGTTCAGCCGATGGGTAGTAGTACAACATAAGACATCCTTTTCTACTGTGTTGCGGCGATACGAGATCCATTCTGCAACTCACTCATTCTTGCAATGGACTCTTTTCGCTCTTTGAAGAGGTCTTTCTTTGGTGTATCATCCTATGTTCTTTTGCTCTTGCATTCTACCAATGGCCAATATATTCAGGACTACCAGTACGTTGTCTCCACGATCTCGCATGAAATTTTCACTTACAACCTATGAAACAGATGGTTTGCGATCAATGGCGTCGTTACGCGTAAGTATACTCCGTCTTGATCCAATTTATCACTGTCAATGCTAACAACCTTTGCTTCCAGCATTTTGGCGGAGAACAGCTCTGGACGTCCCGACAGCTGTAGTCATCCCCCAGAGTTTGGTCGCTATCTACTACAACTGTCATTATATGCGATCAATCTGTCAGAACAACCTCAACTGGTTGGCCGGTCCACGTGGGCAAGGCAGGTCGCTCGTCCAATATGTTGGCGGGGGAAACGTGAACGTGTATGCCTTCGATGTCTTCCACGCCAAGGCCGATCACAGGGGCAATAGAATGTGCCCTGGCAACTGGAAGGCCACTCATCCATGCCCTGAAAGAAACGCTGCAGGCGTTCTCATTCAGCCGCCCGTCATGCCTGGCCCTTGGGGGTCTACCTTGAGGGAGACCATCGATCCTTTGCAATTGAACGAAATCGAGGCAGAATACAAGGTAGACCCTCAGACAGGCAAAAGGACGCTTCTACAGCGAAGTGGTCGATATTATACGTGCGAAGAATGGCCACCAAGAAGGTATTACTCCTTATGTCTGACGTGTGCCCCGAAAATACTGATAGTTCTTGAAGTTTTGTGGAAGGCGGCGTAGGTACTCCTGGACAAGGAGTCACGCCTGAAGGCGACGGCGGTAGAGGAGACACTTTTTGCGCGCCAAAACAAATGGACTCCAATTGCGCTGGTGAAACAGTGCCGAAGGAAGAAGCAATCAGATCTGAACAAGGTGCGTACCCAGTATCACGTCATCTCCTCACATACTCATCAGATTTGTTAGATTGGCAAGGAGCAGCTCATCTATCTATTGGCAACAAACTGCGAGCCATCGCCAGAAACGAAGCCGGCAGGACCACCCAAACACAGCTTGACAACACGGCTGTCTTCATAACTGTGCTATTCTTGAATGACCCAGCGGGTCATCCTGCAGGCTGTAAGTAGATTTATCATGTTACTCGAAGCCATGCTGACGTAATTGGCCGATAGATCAAATACCGCGTACTGGCGAGACGTCAGACGTAAGCATCACGAAGCGTGCTGATGGCGCTGATCCTAATGGCACGCCCATCGAAAGGTTGCGATACATGTCCAGCTTGACCTGGGAAGACGTCCGCAAGTGGAAAGGCGAGCACTGGGCAGTGACTCTCAATGGAAGCACCGTGACGTCCAACGCTACCGGTGCATTCCTGGAGGAGAAAATTGCCAGTGACGACTTTTATGCCAAAGGTGGCAACTTCATGTTCGACCAAGGTTTCCAAATGGGCTCCAACCAGTCCATCCCTGGCGAAGAGTCAGCCTCGAACTCTTCACATGTCGGACATACATCGGTTCCGGTCACGACCAACAGTAGCAGAATATCGAATCACTCGGCGGACCCCCTTGACCCGAAGGATACGAGAATGTAGCGAGGTCATCGGGAACCTCGAGAGCCGATTCCAGATATCCTGAACCTAGGAACAGTACATATCCTAGGCAATATTGACCGAGGAAGCGGAGTCCTTCAGTCTGTGGACGGGTCCAATAATTCCAGCACATCTGGCACCAACGATTTTGTCAACACCACCTCGCAAGATCGAAGCAGCTCCCAATCTAAGCGAGCACACTTTAGACGACACGTTTCCGCCCATCAGCACCACACTTCCCATCACCACGGCACTTCTCACCAACATGAAGCTGTCGAAGCACAAGTTCTTGCCGTGGAAGACCAAGAAAAGCAAGTTACCAGCCCCAACACTACCCCACTCACTCTGTCGCTTCACAAGCGCGTCGATGGTCCGATTCAGTGTGGCCCAGGCTCGCCGTGTAAAGACAACAGCTGCTGCGGTCCAGAAGGCAAGTGTGGTTACAAAGAACACAACTGTGGTGCCGGCTGCACGTCCAACTGCGACGCCAAAGCAATGTGCGGTATCGATTCAGCTGATGGCAAAACCCCTTGCGCTCTCAAGCTCTGCTGCAGCTACTACGGTTGGTGCGGGACCGAAGATGTGCACTGCTACGATCCCGAGCCGCAATTCGGCAAAACGCCATGCCAGCAAGGTTTTGGGTCGTGCCAGAAGTATCCATCTCCATCATGCAGTGGGAATTCTGCGTCTACAGGCCGCAGAGTTGGATATTATGCAGGCTGGAATACCCGGGAGAGACTTTGCGACAAAGTCAGTCCATCGCAGATCAACACCAAGGGACTGACGCATCTGTTTTACTCATTCGTCTTTTTCGACCCAAGTAGTTCCAACATCGTCCCGATGAACGCGGCGGATGTGGACTTGTACAGAGAGTTTACAAAGCTCGCGACAAACGGCCTGCAAACTTGGGTGGCGATAGGAGGCTGGAGCTTTTCCGATAAGGGGCCGTATCGCACTGCTTGGAGCGATATGTGTGGTTCAGCTGCGAACCGCGCTGCGTTCATCAAGTCGACAATTGCCTTCATGGAGCAATATGGCTTTCAGGGCGCGGATCTCGACTGGGAATATCCCGCGGAAGTGAAGAGAGGTGGTCGACCAGGCGATGCCGACAACCTGGTGCTTTTGGTAAAAGAGATGCAAGCTGCGTTTGCTGGACGCTTTGGCCTGTCATTGACACTAGCGCCCGACTACTGGTATTTACGTGGCTTCAAACCGAAAGCTATGGAGCCGTATGTTGACTTCTTCGGCTTTATGGCTTACGATCTTCATGGCCCATGGGACACCGATGTAAAGGCACTTGGTTCCATTGTCCGCCCCCAGACCGACATCACCGAAATCTACCAAAACTTCAAGCCTCTCTGGTTCGACGGCGTCGATCCAAAGAAAGTCAACATGGGTCTCGCATATTACGGGCGCAGCTACAAACTCGCAGATGCCTCCTGCAGCAAGATGGGATGTGCTTTCAAAGGCCCAGGCGCTGCCGGAGAATGCACTGCCTTTGAAGGTGTCCTGTCGAATCGCGAGATTCAGTCAATGATCAAGAAGGAGGGGATTACGCCATACTTCAATCAGACTGCTATGGTCAAGTATTTTACCTATGCGGGTGATAGTTGGGTCGGCTACGACGACGACGAAACGCTTGCGCTCAAAGAATCATTCGCGAATTCCTTGTGCCTCGGTGGGCTCATGATTTGGTCCATTGATTACGACGCACAGGCAGGCGCCCAGCTTCCAAGCGACACTGGGAACGACAAGGACCTTGTCTGGGTCTCGCCTGAGATCTGGAAGCAGCCGAATCCGCAAGTCTACTGTCAATTCCCATGTACGGTCGTGCTTCCACCATTCCAGGGTGTTACCACGACGACGGCATATCCACTGGTAACTGTCACGAGCTCAGGATACACGACGACTATAACGAGGCCACCGATGACTATTTCCGTTTGGTGGATTTCAACGATTGTCGTTGGGCAGTCGTCTGGCGACGAGACTATTACACCCGGCGTTACACTGCTGACAACCAAGACCTGGCCTGCGTTTGAGACGACTGACTCTGCGGGACGTGTCTTCCACACAAGGGCCACGGAGACACCCAGTCCACCACCGCCATTCATATCTTCTGCAATTCCTCGCATCACTTTCATCTCTGGTCTTCCGGTACGGCCAACAACAACGCCTTACCCTACACCGTGCGCAACGCTTCCAGGACTTTGTACACCCGGCGAAGAAGAACAAGAAGATCCTGATGATGAAAATGATGATGACAACGCCCCGGGTGGCCACAAAGGAGACGGAGGCTGTACAGGCGATGACTGCGATTCTGGCGGCTGCGGCAGCTCCTGCGGCGGTTGCAAATTGGGGCTACTCTGCAACATCTGCATTGGCTTCAATTGCGTGCCGAACGTGGGATGCCACGGGCTCAACTGCTTGTCATGCAAAGGCCCCCTGTGCAATCTTTGCACAGGCGCAAACTGCTCTGGCTGCAAAGGGCCAGAATGTACTACTTGCAAGGGCGAGGACTGCGTCTCTTGCAAGAGGGGTAAGTGCGGTAGCACTACTTGCACGGATCTTCAGTGTCAACCAGGCACACATCCAGACGGTCCGGATGAAGAAGAAGATGACGATGAAGACGGAAAATGCCAGTGGAACGGCGGCGGAGATTCAGATGACGGCGGCGGTGATGGAGGCAGTGGCGGCTCTGGCGGCTCTGGCGGAACGGTTCCAGGAAGCGGCAACACCCAGGTTCCAGCAAGTAGCACCCCAAAGGTCTCCGGCATAATGCCCTCGGAAACCAACGGCGGAGGCGGCGGCGGAAGCACCACCACCAAGCCATCCGCAACCCCCATCCAAACCCCTGACTTCTCCAACCCGAGCACCAATACGAATGCGTGCTACGACAACGGCCAAATGGCCACGCGCGAGCACATTCTCCAAGCCGCGGACATATTCTGCAAGACATACGACGGCGTCGTCTTCGCAAACTCCTTCCAAGCCGCCGTGGTCGGTTTTGGCTGGCAAGAAGTGCACAAGTCCGGGCTCAACATTCTAATCCGGCTCGAAGCAAAGTACAACTGCCGCTGGCAAATGAACGCGGACGAATGCGTCAAAAAGTTCACCGCGCTCGTAGACGGGTGCGACCAAGAAGGTATCATCGACAAGCAAGGCGGCGTCCGACAGAACAACTGTCTCCTCTGGCAAATCGACCCAGAGCAAAACAACGACGTCGAGCCACCTCCAGCCCCAGAACCTGAGCCTGAACCCGAGCCACCAAGACCTAGCGTGCCTGAAACCAAAGAGGATCGCAAACCAAGGTTCGATCTCTATGCATCTTCAACAACTAGACCGAATGGGATTTCCTCGTGGAACGCACGGTACGGTCAACAGGGCGTTGCCTACTACGAAGACTACAGCACATGCAGTGTAGCTTTTGGGTGGGAGAACGGGAACGTTATTAGAGACGCTTCTATGCCGAACTCGATCAAGGGTATTACAAAAGTCTTCAGTGACACGTGCGACTACGTTTCTTCTATTGACCACAAGGATGCCAAGAATGGTGATCGGGTCGGGGAGTTGAAGTGTAGCAAGTACGCTTCTGCGACTTGTCGAAGAGCAGACAAGGTAACTACGTGCGGCCTGACGAACTATCTCCTTCGTGTTACATGTGCTTGGGATTATTAGATTAGTACAATTTCAATCTAACTACTACAAAACTACTCAGGTATTCCGTTCGGGAATG